GAAGAAAAAGATTCCCCTATTCTAATTAATGGGAATAATTATCTTCTCTTTAACATTGCCATCATTTTGACTAATGCTGCAACATCAAACAGCAATTAAACCCCCAGAAACTCTATGCTTACTCCATTACAGCAGAATTAATTTGATTTTGAAAGAAAAAGAAAATAAATATGTTCCTGCATATATAAACAACCCCATCAACCCAAGAACTGATTACAGCAGCTCTGAGCTCTCAGCTCAGGAATACCCAAATTCTAAAGCCAACWCTCAGGGCTGAGGCTGGAAAGAGCAGGAAACCCTTTGTGCCTGCAGAGGTGTGTTCTTCACTCTGAGAATGTGCTTTTGTCTAATTTTGTGCCCATGAGGCCGTGGGATACTCAATTTCTCATCCTCATCCTAAAATTGAAACCTTTCTTCCTTAAACATGTGACATTGGAACTTCTCAATCATGACAGGACTCACGTAAGTAACAACAAATAGTACATGTTTTTATACAGATTTTCCAACAGTCTAAAAGAGAACGAAAAGCCCCAAATGGTTGCTGCTGTCCTGCCAACCCACTGAGCACTGTGCCCATCAGATGGACRGGCTCTGGAAAGGGCCATAGTGCTGTTTGCTGGTCAGACACCTCGTGCCTTCCAGCACAGCTGGGCTTGCTGGGCTCCCAGGCTCACACTGACTGGCACATCTGGCTGTGCATACTGAGGGCTGCTGAGAGGGTGGACTCAGAGCTGCACCATCTTCATCAACAGCAAAGCCCCCACAGGATCACCCCACACAGACTAAGCAGGATGATTAAGAAACTTTATACRAGGACTTCATTAACACCCTGGACCAACCACAAACCTTTTGCTGCATTAGACTAATGGCTAAGTTTTCAAAAATGCTGAGGCTTCATTTTGAAAACTGACAAAATTCTCTAGGATTCCAAATCCAGCCAGGCTCAGGTTGTTGGCAGCTACCCCACACCTACTCAGCTCACAGATCAGCAGCATGGGCACAGCACTGCATGTTCTCATAGAGTGCTTATGGGCTCTACCACTGACTGATACTCAAGATCCTTGGTTTCTCCACACTGCATTGTACTTTCCAGGGCATTTCTGAAGAAAGATGGAGCCAGAATTTCAGAATGAAAAAAAATTCTAGCAAAAATGCAGACAGAAATTTAGAAATTTAAAGAAAACCAAATCACCTTAATGTCCAGTGGAATGTGTAGAAAGGGACTTGGGAATGGAATTTGCTTAGATGCCAAATGGTATTTTTAAAAGCATCTATTTGAACCTCTACAGCCTTAACTTCCTTCCAAATTCAGACCACCAGGATCTTAAGAATTTCTAACAATGGTACCCTAATGGTAAAAGACCCAAAAGCATCTTGGATTTTAGGCTGAYGATGGTGCAGAGAAAAGTTCACACATGATGTCAGGGTAAAAACTGATGAAGACTATCCTTGCRTTATTAACAAAAGTATTCTCAAATTACATCTACCCTGGGAACCATTTCCTGCCAGAATGTGTCTGTGTTTGCTGTGAGTCASCACTCTGCACAATGTCACATGGGAGGCCTTTGATGACACACAGCTTTGTGTAAAAGATTTCATTCACAGATGAAGGCTGTCCAAAATCCTGCCAAGGGCACAGTAAAATCCCTTTCCCCTAGATTGTTGCAACTCACTTCTGATGAACAGCTTGTAACATCACATCAAACACCATCTTCCTACTGGAGGAGGTGGATGATTTTCAGAGACAAGTATCAAAATGCTCTGCACATTGGCTAAAAACAAACCAAGATTTTAGAATTAGAGCATAAATAGTAAACTATGGCACTTTGAACATGGTGGAAATTACCATCTGTAGGCTTCTTACACCATTTTTGGTTTCTTAGAAGCTAATGTCTTACTCTCTTCCTAAAAGAAAAGGTAATTGTTTGGAGCCTTCACACTCTCTWCTTGTGTTCCATCTGCAGTACAAATGTAATGAGAGAAGTTATATTCCATGGTAAACAGCATGTGGGTATCAAGGAAAGTGCCAATGTAGGGACAAAAGTGTTTACACGTGAATGCTATATGACAGAGTGTTTTTGTCACTGCACTGGGAGCTGCAAGGACTGCAAAAACCTTATAATTCAGGCAACAGCAAACTTCCAGACTAGAAGAGAACAGCGTCCGACACCAAGTGACATAAAAGTGGGGAAAARAAAACATCCAAATGAAAATAAAATCATCTAGTCTTTATCTTCCTGTTTTAAGAAACAGCAAATTAAAATACTCTAGGGTATTTTTGTCACTGTAAAACACTGTTTAAATGGGGGTTGCTTTCTCTAGTACCTAACACACTCCTTTACATATGGCATGCACCAGAAATTCATATCAACACTGTAAACATCCCACCTCAAACACCAGTGTTTTGCTGATTTAAGTGGTTTTCTTTTATTTCTTTATTTTTTCTTCCTAAAATATTTCATAGGCTGTGGTTTATTTGGTGCTTGCAACACCAAAGGACTACACAAAGTGGAAAACCTTCAAAATCTAGCCTCCAAAAGGTTGCTGTAACTGCAAATGAAAAGCTTTTCCTTCCTTGGACTAGAAAATATTATAAAACCACTAAATTACTTACTTCATTATCTATGAACCCCAAAGCACAAAAAAAAGRTTTTCACATTCTTGACATAAAATCTCTCTGGTACTCTTTTTGGTGTAACATCTAAGCCAACCTGGAGATTTCCTGATCATTGCCTGCCAGATGTACACTTCAAAGACTGGGAATCAGATCCATAAGGAGTGGCCACCTGCAGAAATTGGATTTGATTACCATTTGGAGAAGGAAAAATAAAAGTCACCTCTTACCAAGCTGAGCATTCACAAGCTACTTCAGATTCTTCGCTGGAATGTCTTTCTAGTTTGGATAAAAACAATCATTCTGATTTTAAGCCTGTCAGCAATTTGTTCACTGTAGAGATCCAATTTGATCAGACTGTTCCTACAAACAGGCTTYGTTTGCAATGGTGTATCAATTTTTAACAGCTGCACTGGCAATGTAAAAAAAAAAAAAATCTTAAATTAGAAGCTGACACTAATTTTACTTAATAGCAATCAAAAATGATGACTAGAAAAATATAATTTTTCAATTTCAGCACATTTTTAGGATAATTTTTCTTAGTTCAACCCTGTACATGCCATCTTAGAAGAATATGTGGAACTCCACTTATAGGATTTTGCCTCATTCTTGAATGCCTCTTTGTTATTTTACCAACTGGGCACCTGCTAACACCTGCTGCAGTAGAATTTTTTCATCTTCCAGCAAAGACAATATGAAACCCAATATTAAAATCCAGTTACAGTGATTATGTACTGAAAATCAAGAAAGAAGTGCTTGGAGATGTGACATTTTAAAACATCTCTGTAAGTTTAATTTTTAAAGGACAGARCGAGGCATAATAAATCCTTGTCATACTATAAGGTATGCATATCACTTCTACAAGAAAAACCCAAATAAAATGATCAATCAAAGTGACTGAAGAGGTGTGAAAACAGTGCAAGGTAGAACTGGTGGAGACTTGCTGAGATCCTGAAGACTTTTTTCTTTTGAATGAATTCTGCTATTCCCTTTAAAACAGCAGTGCGATTTGGATMCTTGCTTTTCTGATTTCATTGGAAAACACTTCCTAAATATTCCTGCTGATAAAAGCATTCAGAACCGTGCTCCAGTCACTCTGCTGAAAGGCAAACACGTTCTCTAGCAGGACAATATCAGGCAAATGCAACCAGTAAAAACCCCAAATCCTCTTTTCAGCAAATGTCATTCTAACAGAAATACAAAACTCTGAACTCTGAAGTGATAACACACATGTGATTGGCTTTGATAGAGAAAGTTTTCCAACACGATTGGGGAGGTGTCAATAGGATCACAAAATTTGGTGAATGTGTAACAATAGCAAAAAGTGATGGGTGCAATGTCAGAAATTCAATACAGAAATGACTTCTACAAACTCTGCCTTTCACAAGGAATCTTACTCTCACCAGCAACCCTCTTCTTGGTAGCGGGTTGCAGAATCAAAGTAAAAAAAGCATACATGGTCAAACGATTTCTGAGAGATACTGAACTTTATGTATATAATCCTTTCTGTGAGAAAAAAAATCTCTAAATTTTGTGGTACTGCTTGGTGCTGCCAGTCCCCAAGAGCATTAATATTTTAAAGCCTTGATCCTGTAGACCACTGGCTTCCCAGAAGGGTCTATACAAATTACTCAAGACTTTATTTGTGGGGTTTGGAAATGGCTACACTGTATAAAAATGTTTTTCTATTTATTTTTTAAAAAAATTATCTTTACAAAACAACTTTTCCCTTTTTTTCTTTTTCTTTTTTCTTAAAGATATTATCTACAGGAACCCATAAAAATTTTTCCATATTTACATCTAGATAGCTAATCATTGACAAATATAATATCGTGAAATAAAACATTGAAAGTGAATATCCAACCTTTTAAATAGACATTTGGCTCACAGCATAAACAACAGAGAAAACAAATGAACAGAACAACAACAACAAAAAAGATCTGCTGTTCTTACAGGCCTGATCTTTTTCTTTCTCTTAAAAAAAAAAAGAAAAGGAAGAAGAAGAAAGGTATATTGGTGGGATCAAACATGCTGCTTCCAAGCAGAACGCCAGCAACAAACTGCTCCCATCCAGCACCTCAGACTGAAAACCCAAAGTTGTGCGAAGCTCCTGCGAGTGGCTGCTGGGACACCCGAGTGTCCGGCCCACGCAGGACTGCCACTGTCCCCCACGCAGCTCCTAATGCACCTTTGCATTTTCCTGGGGGAGGCCATGGCCCCCACGCTCCCCTTCTTTTCTCTCACAGCAGTTTAGCTTTGTTCTGAAATGCTGCATTTGGTCATCGGTGCCCAGGGCAGAGGGCAAGGCAAGGGCAGGGTGCCTGCAKCTCCCRCACACRCGTTCGCTCCTCGCTTTCTCYTGCCCACACTTGCACTGAYYCCACACAGCYGGGCASAGCTGGGAACAGCCCCCTGTGCCACACTGCTCCCCCTTTGGAAACGGCTCTCCGGCACTTCCCCATCACCAGCAGTCCGGGAAGGGCCCAGGAGGAGGAGGAGGAGGTGGTGCCAGCACAGCTGGATAGAGCCGGAGCAGCAGCCTGGACCGCGGCTGAACGGCTGCTGCCTGCAGCTGGAGTGCACACTGGGGTTGGAGGGCTGTGGGAAAGCAAAGCTCCTCAAAATTGTTCCCTTGCAAGCACAAATTCTCTAAAATTCTGGCCTTCTGTTTGTTGTGGTGTACTGGGACACGTGCTACAGCTAGTGTGGTAAGAACTCAGTCTATGCTATATTTCCTCACATCCACTCACACTTGCAAACACCCCCTCACTCRCACATATGTGTTGGCAGGATGTATCAGCATTCATATAAAGCTTTGGAACTTTTATCCCTCAGCATTAAGAGCACAAGCTACTTAACTGGTACCTTACTGTTAACTGCAAATGTGCTTCAGAAGCAGCATTTCCTTGGATAACTTTCTTCTGTAAATATCACAGTGACCATAATATATCAGTAAATGTATTTTGCTGAAGTGTGCAGCCAAAAACCCTGGCTATATATATATATTTATATAACTCCACCCACCCCCAAATCTSTTTAAAGAAAGTCTGTAAAGCCGGTGTTGCAGTGTGAAAGCTTCCTTGAGCATAGGAGTTTAAACAATGTACCTCACCATAAAAAGGAAAGAGAAACAAATTAAACAGCTGTAGGCGCATTATCCCATACTTCTACAGTGTTGTGTCTAAATGCTGTGCTGGCTTGAGAAAGAGTCTGTGCACAAATCAATCTGTCTTAAAATACTGCTATAAATATTGTCATTGGTTTGGTTCTACAGTTGTGTTCTCCTCTTCATCCTTCTTGGCCTTCCCTTTCTCCTCCTCCTCTTCCCTGATGGCCTGGATTTGTTCTGAAGATTGGTGCAGTGGGGATTGCTCCGTGCCTTGCTTCTCCGACCCAGCTAACCTCTCCTCATCCTCAATCACTTTCTGCCACATCTTATGGTTCTGAAGCAGGTGCTGAGTGATCTGACAGTAGATTTTCCTCCTTTTGAACTTCTTCTTTCCTGTAAAACACCACATGACATTAATACACTGGTTTCTGTTGAAGAAGGAAAAAGGACTGAAGGTATAGGAAGCAGACAGGGTGTACTACAACAGATTTTTATACCCACAGATTTAAACAATGTTAAAATTCAGAAAGCTCTGCCTCTCCAGACCTAGGAGAAAACAAACCGGTTTCCTGCACAGTTTGAGCCCCAGCTCATCCTATCCCAAGGCTGCATGTTGTGCCTGACTGCTGCTCACAGAGGCATCTAGRTCTTGAATGATTATGCACAAAACATGTTGCTAAGCTGTTTCTGCTCATTTTATATCAAGTTCTTAAAGACTCTGATCAACACACGTTAAATTCTGTGCCCTCCACACCCTCAACAGATCCCTGCTGAATTTCCTAGGGGAAAAAAAAAATCTCGATTTGGTTTTCTCCACATTTTACCTTTCAGCTGAGCTGTTGAAGGATAATGAATAATTAATAATGAAGCATTAGTAAGCAAAGAACGGAATCCATTCCTATGTTCTATTTCCAAAGTCAGAAATTCACCACTTCACCATCGCAGTGGAGGTGACCTTAAAGCTCTAGCACAACATTGCTTTGGCATCAGTCTGAGCACTAAAGCAGCACTCATCTAGCCAAACACTACCAGGGAGCTGGCTTCTCTTTGGTTTTGAAGCACCAGTCCCCTGCTCTTGGACTATAAAAGGTTTTTGTCCCTGGTGGTTCTCATGGCTCCTGACACAGCTACACTACAAGGGTTTTGCTGTCTGAAGGGTGGCTTTTTTCCTGTCAATACAGTCTGTCCAACACAGATTGTTAACCCCTTAAGRGTACAAAGTTTGAAAATTTTTCCTGGTCATTAACAATGCCAAAGGCAGTCACGGTACTGAAATAATAAGTCCTCCAAAGACAACTGCCGATTTCTTGTGTAAAGAAGGTGACGTAGAGGAATGTTTTGTACCAAATAAATTTGCGTGGATTAGTATTTGCAGGTTGCCTAAAGTATGTCTGTGTCAGGATCCAAAACGTTTAGCCCTTGAAGCTTTTGAACTGGAAACAAAGAGCTTTTCACTGAGCACAGACCAAATCCAATTCAATCCTTCATTAGAAAGCCCTTGGYTCCCTGTAGGAAACCTTCAGGTTTAGCACTAATAAGAAGCCCTTACCCTGCCAATGCCACAGCAGGACATTCTCTCCTGGGTTTCCCAGGTGACCCCACATCTTGTGCTGTGGTGTTAAAATTTGTCAGAACCACTAAAGACTGTCTGTTTTTTTCCTATACTTGCATCAGACCTTCAGGGAAAGTACATGCTTCTGTATAGGAAAAAATTACTTAAAGCTACCTTTAGCCTTATAACTCTTTACCTCAGCTGCTTCAGCAAATTAATCAGGACCAAAGTGAAGTGTTTTCTACCACAATTATATTTCAATCTGCCTGAAAGGCATTTTCATCAAGAAAAGTATTTTTGCCAATATCTTTACAAGTCTTAATGTCTGTGTATCTGACATCTCAACCTTTTATTGTTTCATCTAGAAAGTTTACAACATCCAAAATTGTGTTGATCTTAGGTACAAATTTCTAAGGAACTATGAAGTCCCTACATTGACACAAAAGATCTCACAGAATGCTGAGTAAGATCTGCACAGTCATGGAGAATTAAGGGAACCTGAAGAAAACAATTTTCTACATATTGGTACAATTGAGAAGCTGAGTGCCCCCCATCGAAAGAAGTAGAAAGAATTTGCTGGACAATTCAAAACTTCTAATACATTATATTTTAAGGTTTTGAAAACCATCTAGTAAAAACACCAGGCTGAATAGTAAAGTACTGTAACAGTGTAGAATGTAAAAAAAAGAAACCAGAAGACTACTAAAATCGGACTGTTTGCAGTGTGAAAAGGGTTAATAATGATCAGTGCTTTTAAGATGTAAACAGCATTGTTCGACTCCACTAATGGTGATACAGGAGATAAGTGAATAGAGATACATGATAAAAGGAAATCAAGGATTTCAGAGTAAGGTTAGACACTCCATGGATACATGAGAACATCCTTCATATTTTTTTTTTATTACAGCAATATCAGTTTCAGACTTTGTGGTCTATGTTAGTTACCAATTGCATAYACTTCCTGCTAGCAGGCACCTGGCCAATCTGCCACAAATGTGAGGCTCTGCCTATTACAGAACTGATAGATCATAAGGTGCTAAATCAACTTATGTGTGTCATTTTACTTGATATTTGCTGTTCTCTACGAGATTTTTTGTGCATGTGAACCTGCTAAACTTAAAATATGTGCAAGTGTGTGTGTGTGTGTGTGTGTGTGTGTGTGTGTGTGTGTGTGAACAACAGCAATGATTTCTTAAACATAGTTTATCTCTGGATCTTTCAAGAAGCAAAAGATTAATGCTGCACATCAGGAGTTACATATCCAGATGTGATTCACTGCACTCATCAAATCTTTCTCAGCTTTCCCAACAGAAAACAGGGAGGATACCCATGTAGGGCATGAAAGTGTGGGGAAAGAACAGAAAACTTGAGGCTTTTGAGGGGAAAAGCTATGTATTGATATTTCATGAGTATACTTAAGGCTRGAGTTTCCTAAAAGTTCTAGACATAGGGGAGAGAGAGAAAGATGAACCACAGGAATGAAATAAAAGAATAGTAGTAGAAAATTCAGATTGAGAAAAAAATGTAAGAAAGAAAAAGGTAAAACATGCAGGATTAAACTGATAAAAGAAAGAGATCTGGAGTTGCAGCATTTTCTCTTTAAGTGCCTGAAATCTCCTTTCAAGATAAAAAGCTTTCCTCTCTGCACAGCAAATACTGGCAGTGTTGCCCTTCTAGAGCAGAGGCAGGAGAATATGAGCTTTAGTTAGTGATTAGCCAGGTTATGCAGCTCCCAGCACACAACACAGCAATGCTCAGTGACAATTCTCTCCCCACTCTTCTGCACATTAACTTGAAGAGATYTGCATTAAAATTAAATTTTAAGAACTCTTCTATGGCGTCAGCATTTCAGACTCTCATTCTATTATTCCTGTATGTCATACTAACTCATGGAAATGATGAGTATTTTCCATGAAAAATMTTCTCCCAAACATGAATTTTCAACTGAAAATCTTGCAGTCTATTAACACCAGTCCTGAAACAGTCTAGAAAGTCCTTATGCACAGAGAGTTGATCCACCACCAGAAACCTCAGCTGAGGCAGAAAATAATCGGTAGAGATGAACCACATTKGCTCTGAAACCATGGAGCATCTCCATTAACAATGTAAGTGGCTACAGCTTCAGCAAGGCCAGCACTGACTCACCGTCATTCTGGAGGAGGTCCATGTTGAACCTGGCCAGCTCACAGCCTCTGCTTAATGTTTTGGTCACAACATGGAGCTTGGAAATTTGGAAAATGTGTCAACAACTTACTGGATTCGGCATTTTCACAAGTTTCCATTTCTGCTGTTTCTTCCTCTTCTTGCTCATCAGTGTCTCCTGATTCATCACTATCTTCTATCCACTTTCCTGGCATCAGCCCCGCTGAGTCATAGGAGTTGCACAGWGGTCCCACGATGTGGGTGATGAAGGATTCCTGGAGGTGTGCCAGTTGAGGGGCAGAGCGGTCCATGAAAGGGCTGATGGGCAGGCCCAGGCTGGCCTCTTCATCACCCTGGAGATGAAAAAATAGCTGTYATTTCTCTGAACTAAAAGGAACAAAACTCTGGCACAAAAAGGAGTAAAGTGAATCCAACCAGTTGAAAATGCTGAAAGAACAACTGAATACCAATGGTACTTACASTATGACATTGCTACAGTGTAAAATGGTCAAAGTTGCAGCTCTCATCTTGCAGGAGCTGATACCAACCCTCTACTGATAATATGAATTTAACAAGGATGTTGTTAATGACTCTGCAGAATGATGCCCCTAGACCTTGTCCTGTATTTTACACTGTGGAAACTTGAAAATTGTTTTTTGATTTTTTTCTTGACATTATTTTTAAAAAATCCCTTCTGATTATATGTTTGTTAGTTCGCAGCAACCTTGTTTACAGCAAACAAGAAAAACTCTACAGGCCAGGTCTATCTCACCAGACTGGTTTTCTTCTTAATTTTGTCCTTGTTAAAAGTAATCTGGAGATGTACTCTGGGCTTTGGGTCATAAATATTTGTTTCCTGCAACTATTAAAATAATCCCTGTGAAAGCAGGCATTTGCTCAAGAGCAGTAAATCTTTCTCATAAAGCTTTTTGTTAGCTTTTTTTGAGGAGAGAGGGAGGTAGAAGAAATTTTTTTTTCTCTCCTCTCATGATGTAAAAGAAAGTAAAAATTTATTACAGAACCAAATCTCATGTACTCACTTCCCTATCAAAGAAAAACCTCTGGTGATATCAATGAGTTTTCAGCTGAGCAGACATGACCAGATGCCATCTCCCCACCCCCAAAAATACCTAACCTCCCTGATCAAGCCTGACAYGCAAGTTAATACTTCAATTCAATACAGAGTTCTATATTTGAGGATATAAAGGAGGATTTGAAAATACATTTTCAGTTTCCATTATTTTATACATTGCTCATATTTATCTCCTTGTAATGCAAATTTTTCAAAAGTAACCGTCTTCCTATCTGACCAACACGCTGTCTGTATCTGTATTTGGTGAAGGCCAAAAAAATGAGAGCTAAATTTTGGAGCAAGTACAGCAAATATCTCATTTCCTTGTGTTTTGTTTGTTACTTTAAAGTAACCCATCCCAAAATGTTATGTTCCATCATTAAAATCAAAATATTTGTGTTGAAAAACACTGAAACATGCCATCCATTCTTGAAATAACAGGCAAATTAAGAAGAGGTGACAGCTTGCTCTTTTTTAGAGAAACATATCTGAGATTTCCTAGTTATGAGCTGGGAAAAATACTGACTGTTAAAATATTTACAAATTCTCTTTTAATGTTCTGTTAAAACATATTTTATTACGTGAAACATCTTGCAGTATTGCTTTTTTTTAATTCTAGCATGTCTAACCCATCTTCAAATAATTATGCTGTGCATGTGAAAAGAAAGAAACATCCAATAACAATATGACAAAGGATTTTTAATATTTCTATTAAAAAACATTTTTAATAAGCAATTTTTATTTATGTGGGTGTGAAATTCTTGAAAGGAATTGGTGTTTTCCAGTCTCGGAAAAAATCTAATACTTTAAAGCAAGGTGAACATGGTTTGATACACCTCTTGTAGCATATTAAATGAAAGAAAAAGGGATTTTGATACAGGTATTATAAATTGAGAATCTAACTTATCCTCCTTAATGCCAAAAGTAAGTCCAAGAAAGAAAATGTTCTCTGTTTTGAATCCCATTTCTGAATGATGGAAAATAGCAGAGATTCATACTGTGGAACAGATAACACAACATCTTCCCACATCTGTATCCTCCCAAGCTTGATTCACTGTCCAACACTTTGATGATTTTAATCTGTTGGGGCACTTTCCTCTGATATTACTTCAGYTGGAACAAAGGAAAGTCATATAATACATCTGATTAACAGCTTTTGTCTGCATGCACTAGGCACCCACACAAGCTACGATCATCACCAGAATTGTGAAGTACAGTTTGTTGGGACAGCTGTAATGAAGAAGAAAAGCATGTCCTGAAAGAAAATTTGGGAGATGAAGTTTGTTTAAGAAGAAAAGGAAAACAAAAAATGGAACCACATAGATAAATAAAATACATAAGGCTCATTGTACTTTCTTTTTCTGGGGAGATTTGAAAGAAATGAAGAGGCTTCAGGTCAGTGTCTGAATTTTGTCCCTTTTTCTGTCCCTTTGCATACTCCAGAAGGCAGCAGCAAATCCTGGTTMGATTTTTTTTCCAAACTGTAAGGGTAGTAAATTTAAGGGAAKTTGAAAAGGCTTTGAAAGGGATTAGTCTGTGACTCCAAGTTACTGCACAGCCTCCCCGAGAAGTCTGTGGGTTGTCTGGTTCACTAATTTAGCCTGTTTGCTTCATCTGGAAAAGACAGGATGTGGAGTTTAATCTGACCAGAACATTCAAAATGTTCCCACTTGGAAACAGAGGAATAGTGTGGGAATGGCCCTGACCCTTGCACTCAGCAGGGCTAAATAGGTTATAATGAGAAAAGGTTCAGTTAAGGGCTCCCTCACACCTAGAAAGAGAGGACCAGCACCTGGCTGTATTCCCAGGGCTTTGAAAAGCAATCTGTGGCTGTCCTTCTTCCTTGTGCCACCAGCATGGCCTTGCATAATTAGTGCAGTTGTACTGACAAACCTCTGAGAGCTGGAAGTGTTGTCTTAAAAATAAAGTATGGGTCAGGGTGAGTTTGTAGGGAGCAGATGTGGTTGGTCTGTGATAAGCTAATAGTCAGTATTTCAGTCCTTCTCTGAATATAAGAGTTGTGGCCCRCAGGGAAGCTAAAATAATGCCACTGCTCTGTTTAGATCATGTGAAAAAGGACGTCGTGTCCACTGTTGGGGACTAAGTGTCAACAAAAGTGTGAGACTGCAGAGGAGAGCCGTGAGAACCAGCTGATGTCTTCAAAGAACACAGAAGGAACAGTTCAGCCTGTAGAAAAACCATCCTCAGAGGTCTCTGAGGACACTTCACACTGATGGACTTTCCCTGGTGCATCCAAAGAATGGATTAATGTAACTGTAGMCAACCTCTTCTACCCTATTCTCTGTGATACTCACTCATCATGCTCCAGGACTCTTTAACACCAGACATGCAGCCTTGGAATGCATTTATTTACCTGCTCATAAAACTCATTGACGATGCCTTCTGTCCACTGCAGATGCAAATCTTTGCATTTTGCAGGCCCGTTAATGTCAGCCAGTTTGATGCACATCTGACAAACCAGCAAGCGGTCATTCTCATTGGTCCAGTCAATTCCAACATCATCGTTTACCTAGAAGACAGGAGAAAGGAAACCGTGACAGTAATCCTGGGCATAAGGATGCATCCACAGAGGAATTTCTGACCTGGGATATTGTACAATATATTTAGCTATTTAATAAAATCACTAGCATAAGCAAGTGAGCTAAGACCAGGCTGGAATTAACCATATGGAAAAAGAAAAATAAGCAAAAACCAAAGAACATTGAGATGAATAATGAGAAATCTTTATTTAGCAGATTATGCACCTGTTTGAAAGCACYAGCTAGGAAAACAAACAAATGCAATCTTTCCATGACATTTTTCAAGCAGTTAATACCTAACTGGTGTATAAATATAAATTACCATAAACCTGATGGCTTAATTGCGGTGTGAAGATGCCTGTAACGAGCTTATTTYCCTGTTTGATCTAAGTATGGCTGAAACTATTTCCTTCATTTTTYCTTTTCTTTGTTTTTCCCATGCAGCTCACAAGAAAAATTGATACACACTATCAACTACTCTAAAAGAGAAGCAGGAAGGCGAAGGTCGGCAGGGACAGGACTAGCARGGGTGCAGAAGGAGCTCAGACATTTATGGATCTACAGATCAGTTCTCCATCTACCCTGGACCATATTTAAGGCCTTTCTTTACATCTTCTTAAAGCCTAACAGAGAGATGTTACAGGGAAATGGAAAACAAAACCTGTCACACATCTGGAGGTTTCAAAGTGTCAGCATACAGATTTATCTTAAGTAATTCCACAGGAAAGCATGTTATCCATGTGACCAAAACAGCTGGGACACCCTAGATACAAAACACAACCTTTTCGGGGGGTTTCTCACAAGGAACAGAAAGGCAACAGTGGATCCAAAGGCAGGAATCTAGTTAACATGCCAACAGCTTTGATGGGTGATGGAGTTATTTTACCAAACTTAATAGGAGGTGATTTCCAATAAGTTACGCTGGAACTGTAAAGAGTTTTAAAGAATGGTCTCCCAGGTTTGTGATTTTCTGCTTACTCAATGGAACATGCAGGAAAAGATCTTTAGTGACCTTTCTCTGGAAAGACAAAGGAAAGGAAGACCAGGCTTTCACTGCATTTGAARCTAGAATGTCAAAATTTTTGGGATTTCTGTGCCTTGATAATTCAACAGTATGACTAAATCAGCAAAAATTCACTTAGAGTAACCATTATCAAAACTTGGTAATTACACCTTTGATTTTTTCCCCGAGTACTTTGCTAATAGGTTTAAAGTGCCAGTGAGCAAGAAAGCAATGTTGAAACACAGAATGTAAAAATAGCCCATAATATTTTTAGCCTTAAAGCACTTTCTGAAAAAAAGTAAATATGTATAAGAAGAGAGCTGTGTCACAAAGTTTAAATGAGTAAAACCCAACAGAAATGCCAGATTATTATTCAATGTTTTACAGCAGCCAAAAGGACATTCAGAGGAAATAAAACCCTTTTTGCTGAATACCACCAAGGCCCACAATCTTTTCTGACCGTCCCCCAGCAACCCAAGCTAATCTCACCTTGGCGTTGAATTTGGCCACAAAATCAAAGTGTTTCTTCAGGTCAGTAGCCAAAATGGCCTCAATGACGAGGAAGCGGAAATGCTTGAACTCCACGTGGTCCAGGTTGACCAGGAAGTTGTACTCTGGCCTGGACATGAAGAGGTTCCAGGCAGCAGCAGCGTGGTGGTTCTCCAGCACGGAGCGGTCATTGTACAGCACCGCCTGTGGAGGCAACCGGGGCAGGGGGAACATCTTAGCAAAATCACAGCAGATTATTCTGTTTCAGACCACAGGTTATGGCKAATGTAACATAGGTGTGTGATTCCCTGATTCTCAGAATTAACCTCACTTAAYGGATTATTGTCTGTGGTAATTGCACCAGGCAGTTGTGTCCATGTGGGACTGGTTCCGAACGCAGAAACAACAGAAATTCCAGTTTGCAGCCTGAAAACACATTCTCAGCCTGACAGATTTCTCAATGTTAAATTCCAGAATTGGTGAAATCTTTACCAAAATAAGATATGTTACTCTCATAGTGATGATAATTCCAATCAGAAAATAACAAGAATATTATTTTTCCTATTAATTTATATWCAAACAAGAGCCAATACATAAAGGCTAATCATTTAACTTCCTTTTCTGATTTTTACAACCRCAAAGCTATAGTCACTTATTTCTTACAATTAGATTATGTCTTTTCTCAATCTATTTACCTGGCCAGAATAGCAAAGTTCCTGCTCACAGAAATGCATGGCAAGGATGAGAAGTATTACTACCAATTCACAGACACAAACTGACATGAGAGYGAGTTCAGGTGGCTTGCTCTTGGTGACAGAGCAAGTTTTGTTGCAAGCTGGAGAGTAAATCTAGAATTTCTTCAGCCCTACCTGAGTTGCCACCATTAAGAYATCTCTTTTTTTGTTTCCTTATCCATAGAAGCATTTTTCAGCACAATGTGCTGAAGCCAAGTGGGTCAGCTATGTAAAGTAAGGAAATATGATCTCATAACTAAGCCAACAAAGAGTGACTCAGAATTGCTGAATTCAACTCCCAGGACAAGCAGCAACTTCTGTGTAASCTTAGGCAAGCCTCAATCCTACATTTATACAACTGAGATTATTTTCCACACTCCCTGCCTCTTTTAGTGATGCACAGTGCAAAAACACTTTCATAGACTGCAGCTGCTCACATTCTATAGAAACAACAGAAAATGTGTTACGATCATGCACGATTAACTTGCAAAGCAAGTCAACTACACAAGTGGGATTTTAAAATTTTATTTTAACCTTTCTGTGCCTTTCTGGGTAGAATAATTCTTTCATTCTTTCACAGTTACAGATTCTGTATCAGTCAGCAGAGCTTTAGCCTCTCCTTTGCTGACACAGTTTATCGGTACCTTTCTTAACAGCTCTGCTCACAGAGGGTGCGTATAAAGACTCTTACCAGCAATCCCCAAGTGAAGTGATTATTTCTGTCACTTTGACAAGCTGATTCAAAATATTTGGCAGACTTGTGCTTAATGGAAGCCACAGGCACCACTAGCACGGAAAAGCTGTCACCAAGACCTTCCAAACTGAGAAGAGAGATTTATTTACCTGAGGAGCACTCGTTGCTACCAAGAAGGCATTGGTCCTTCCTGGGTGATCGTAATCATGCATGGCTGCAGCTACATAAAGAGCCATCAGCTCCAGGGCAGGGATGTTGCCAGCCAGGCAACCATAGCTGTCATCTGTAGGTGTGTATGTCTTCGAAAACACGTAACCCATATGGCCGTGAGTGATCCCACTGTCAGAATCTGAGCAGGAATGGAGAAATAGAAACAATAAAAAATCCATGCCACATCTTCAGTGACCTGCTAAGACAGAGGCAACAAAGCAGGGAGAGAAGGAGCAGATTTACAGAGCATAAAAGAGGAGTAAACACAACCTGAACTCCATATTTCCTGTGCCCATAATCCGATATGGTACAGTAAGGCAAACAATTGGAAAGGAACAATTTCTGATCTCACCTGGGGATCTTTKGCCATCCAGAAAAAAAACTATTTTCAAACTAAATAAGTTACAAGCAGTGAGACATGAATTTACAGCCATGCTGGAGCTTTGTGGTGAAACTTGATCTTCCCACTCCTTTCTCTAATTTYTTTCATAATGTAGAGAAGTTTATGAGACAGTGACAGTCCTTAAAGCAATGGACTAGAATTTGTCAACTAAATTAGAGTGTATGTTCTCCTATACAAATGTCTAGACTTTGGATTTTTGCTGATAATCCTTTTATCATCCTCTTTTTTAAGTATCTTGAGCATACCTGTCAGTAACAGGTACTGAGATGCTTTGCTAATTTAATCTGAATGACCTTGAATGGACCTTGCATGCAGCTGAATAATGTCTTTTGAATAACAAACATCAGAAACTCAACTGCTTTCATTCCACCTCACCCATAAAGCCACCAAAATCMCTTGCTAACAATTTTTTCCAGGAATAAAACATTTTCTGCCCCACCAAAACAACCTGGAGAGTTTTACAAAACATATGTAAGYGCTATGCAAACACATCTGAAAAAAATAAAAAGCAGAAATGGSACAAACTCCTGCTTTTCCAGTAACTCTCTGAGAATTCCCACTAAACACAGACAGGTCCTCTAGTTCCACAGCTGAACATGGAGAAGTTAACATAAAAATGCAAGAGCCTCCTGTAATGAGCAACCATAACAGCAGAAGAGTTGTCTTGTAAAGTTACTTGCCAGATGGTAACAAGCCTCTTTCTTGAAGACAGTGAGGAAAGGCAAAGAACACTTCATGACAGCCAAGCAGTGGCAAATGCACAGCACTATCTGCATGCCCCAGATTTTACAATAGCAAAACAATGCAGGGTTTAAGGATTTAAATCTATGCTGCTTCTGGTGCAGCACTGAAAAACACTTTTAATACAGTTTTCCTAGGAAAAAACCTATTGCAAAAATCAAATTATGACAAAGATTTGTCGTTATAGGTGACCACAAAGGTTTGCATTCACACATCATTAAATGTTAAGTACTAGGTTTTGGAGGAACAATTCCATTCTCTTCAAAATCACACAAACACACCCGAACACCTTCAACATCCATTGTGCTACTGAACTACAACACCAYGTTACATTGCATTAGATTGCAACAAGTTCTGCATGCAATCCTCAATTGCTGGCTTTCTTACAGAAAATTTCATGAGAGAAACTTAAGGAACACAACATTTAAATATACCTGAATCACTTGCTGACCCGTGGTCATTGATCACAGTTGGGAGTCCTGGGATAGGCTGAGTTGTAAGGTACCACACTGCGTGTAGAACATCAGTGGCATGGATTCGGTTGTGATCTGTGATAGAAAGAAAAGGACCCAGCTATAAAACATCAGGACATTTCTGACAGAGGGATATCAGCACCATCTAGTGGGTACCATGTGCCAGTCAATCCAGCAGAGACAAAACCAACATTAACATGAGCATCAGAGATGTTTTGGGTTTTACCTTTTTCACAGAAATGAAAAAAAGGAAGGTAAATTAATTTTGTATTAGACAAGGTATTCCTCTTTGCTAAAACAAAACACACTTAAGAAAAAAAAAAACAGGGAAATAGAGGGCTATGTTCACAAAATTCCAGAAACTCTAAGAATAGTTAACTGTTTTCAACAGAAAGGCATGGCTCCAGTAGAACAGACTGTGGGACTTCCCTCTCTGAACCTCCTCAAGCTGTAATCTGCTGCTGTAGATCCTGAGCAAGTTCAAACACAGGGAAAGGATTGAAACCAGGTCTCTCACCTTCCAGGAACAGAGTCCAACCACCTGGCTGAAGCTATTTTGAGGTAGCTTTCCTTAAATCCTTCCCACAGAAGCTGCTCCAATTGGTATTTATTATTTTGACAGAGAGATTATATGGCTTCTTATAATGATGTCTCCCACATTTTTCTGGGAGAATGGAGAAAACGGGGTGTCCCRTGTTCCCCAGTGCTGGGTTTATCTGCCAGCTAAGGGAAGTAATAGCTCTTTCTTTTTGGGGAAACAACAGCTTTTTGYAGTTAAAGCAGTTTGATAAATTTGATTTGAATTAGTAAATACTCTGGGGATGTCTGAAAACAGGTTTTTCAGTSAATAAATGGTTCCCACTGAAAAATATCAGTCAAGTTCCAAAAGAATAGGATTCACTCATGCATTTGGCATATTTTTTCTGCTTAAAAAACTAATCTCCTTTGGTAGAACATCACTGCTACTGTGTAAGTTGCTTTTGGGATGCTAAATGTTTCTAGAAACTCCAGCTGGGGCACCGGGGTAAACTTGCATCATCAGGAAACAGTCTTTACAGTTATAATAGCAGCTTTATATGATTTCTGGCTTGTGCAGATTTTGCCAGGAATTGTCATGAAACTCAGTGAAGAAAAGATGAGAGGCTATGGTTCAGCACCAGCCTCTGACCAGCCACTCATTTGGTCATAATGTAGCAGAAGAAAAAAAAAAGTAGCTGTTATAGTGAGAAAAGAAAGACTTCAATATAAAAGTATGTGGAAAATCCCCAAAACTTTAAAGAAGCACTATTATCTGCTGGGAWTTTTTACTTACAAGGTATCTCTCGGTATCCACACTCCAAGGCATGAAAATAGTTCATAAATTCCCTCACTGGTATTTTAAAGGTTTCAAACAGCCCCATGTCTTCAAAAAGCCTGTATGATACCTGAAAGAAAAAAAAAACAACAAAATCTTCATATTGCTAAGTAGATCAGAAAAACTCTAATAATTTGATATAAAACTCCTTAAGTCAAATTGCCCCACAAAAATCTGCTTTCCTGGTAGCATTTTCTCAAATTCATCTGATCCAGCTGCTGCTATTTCTATAGGGATGTGGCYACACAGTCAAAGATATAAGTGTCTAGGAGTCCTCCGCATTTCTTCATTACAACCTTCCAGATGTTCTTCTCTTCCCTTCAGGCACACGGATCCCTCAAATTTTGCCAACATCTCAGAAACCTGAATACATAAAGATGTCCACAGGTCTTCAGTGCCTTTGGAAAAAATTCTCGACAAACTTATCCAAGGAGCATTCTTGAGTCACATCGATTTCCAGAAAAGGGGGAACAAGTGAAGGACAGACAGAAGGTGGAAACATGTGGATCCCATGCATTGTGTCCTTGCCTTCTCTCCCATTTCAGAAGTGAAATGATAAAAATTATTTCAACAGATATCAGAGGCAGCATATATCTTAGGAAGCAGAGCTGCTCTAARTGTTCCTTCACCAAAGRTGACTGTAAACATCCAGGAGAAGATCCGTTGGGAAGGAGAATGTGMTGGATGAGTGACGAGGTGTTCAGGAAAGATGAATGCTCTGAAAGTTAGACAGTGGCTGATGCAAGATGGGCACTTCTGAAGACAAGTTTGAATTTGATGYGCAAAACAATGGGGTCAGTAAAATCACTGCTTGATCTTCTCACTTCTTTCACCAATTGGACCCTAAAGTCACTGCCTGACAAAGGACAAGCACTTCTGCATGATTCCTAATGGGAGCTGCTTTGGAACTGGGCATCATTATTTACATGTAGCTCCTCTCCTGGGTGTTGCAGACACACAGGAATGGCTCTCCTTGGAGGACATGTGCAACGTTTAGATTAGCAGTTCCCTTCTCAGTTCCCTTCTTGCACTCTTTTTTTGTGTCTTGTGCATTTGTTTTCTTCAGATGAGTTTCTTYGAAATTGCTGGCACCCAGTGTCTGGCTCTGACAAACTCCTCACAGGGCTGGGGTGATGATCCCAGGAATATCCCAGCCCCATGAGTGATGATGACAGGACCAAACAATCCTCTTGTTACCATGCAGGGACCAAGTCAGAAGTAATGTGGCAGTGATGCCACCCTGCCTCTGACACTGCTCCTGTACTGCCAGCACAGGAGCACCTCCACTTCTCTCTGTGGGCCCAGTAATCAAAGCTAAACTACAGGTTTTAGTCTTACAGGAGCTTTATGGCCTGTTGTGAAGCAGCAGCTCAGTTCTGAGAGCTCGGCTCTTTGTCTCTGAAATGAGACCGAATGCACATTCCTCTCTGAACCCTGCCATGTGTATTTGTCACTGTCACATTTACTGTGCCTGCCAGTCTAGTTTGCACAGATGCTTTCRTGGTTGCTGACTGGTTTGGGGTCTTTTTGTATGTCTAAACCAATTTAACATTCCACAAAGAAGGAACAGACATCTCAAGCAGCTTCAAAGATGCTAAGCCAGCATTTGCTTTCTAAACCGAATGCTTCCCTAGAGGCACGTGTCAACTCTGCTTTGTTCCATCTCATAAATTTAACCTAGTGAGGCAAACATGGTTAATTCAGCTTCTTAATTTACTTTTTTTTTTTTATAGATGAATCCATTTAATAGCAAAATACAGAGAATAAATCATTGGAGCTTTTGTTTTCATTTGTTARTAATATCCCAGGATTTTAAAATCAAACTAGAAAAAAATAGTGCTTTTGGCTGGAGAAAAAGATTTATTTAGATTTCCTGATTCCTKAAAATAATTTTGTTAGGAACATCTGAATAGGTCGGGGAAGGAAGGATCTACCTTTATTTTGTGAACAAGGTTGAACTTGGACATTCTGCTGTTAGGGAGAGGGAGCTATTAAAAAGAGCTGTTACAGAAAATGTTGAATTTTCATCACAATATTACTTATTAAAGCTTCTCTATTTTATTTCACAGGCCTCATTTTGTGGTACTGTGAAACAGAAACATGCTGAGAACCTGTGCAAAAAGCAGACGTTTGGAAATAGGGTGATGAGATTTAATGCAGCTTGAAGGAGGCACAGGGGAATTGTGYCCAGAGGTCCAGAACTCCATGCAGCTTGGTAAAGTGCTTAAAGCCTACAGAGGTGTCCATGTAAAACCAGCACAAATTTTGGCTCATCTTAGCTGTTGGTTATACCATTAAAAGAAAGTTCTGGTTTTCCTTTATGTTTCATTTATCGTTCTATCATTGTTCCATGATATTAGAAAAATGAGCAGTATGGTCTAGAAGAGCATCAACCGCACACTCAAGGTCCAGTGCAAAACTGCCTCAACGAGCACTGCTTTTATATCAATATCCACTGCTTTTATATCAATATCCACTGCTTTTATATCAATATCCACTGCTTTTATATCAATATCCAGCCAGCCACAGTTTGCCTGTTTCTAAAATGAACCTAGAGAATTGGCAGGCTGGTCAAACACAGATGTGGCTTGCCAAGCTACAGAACACTAAAAGGCAGACCACAGAATAAATTTGAATTCATGCCATGGTTTTCCTTGTTGACCACCAGATAATTGAATCTAGCTGAATAATAGGTAACCACCAAGGGACTGTGATTTGATCCAGCRTTCTCTGGAGCTTGTTACACTGAGATCTGCCTGACACACTAACCTCTGTGTTTCTGGGGGGGTGATAATTGCACCACATTGTACCAATTAACTTTATCTCTTCTTTCCAGCACTCACCACTACATAATGCCTTGTAAAGTGAAACTCGTTCAGTCAGATTCTCTTGGGCTTTTTGCCCTTTCATCCCTAAATAATAATAAAAATAATTACTTGCTTTTCCTGTTTAATAATCTTCAATACTTTCATAARAAAAAATGACTAATTTGTCAGTGTGCCAGGAAAAGGGGCAAAACAGAGTAGAAAGTTCAGCCAAGAAAGTGATTATGGAAAGTGACACTAATCGTGCTGGGGAGAGACAGGCTGTGTCAGTAACTGAATTAAACCCATAGGAAGGAATAAAAACTTGAGAGTTCTGAGAAAGAAAGACTAGTAAGCCCTGCCATCCTAACCCACAGCCAATTAGTCTTCCCTGCATAATAATGGCATGAATTTTCTCTCAAAGTTCAGATTCTTTAAAAATTAGGGACTCTAGCAAGGATTCTTTTTACCCCCACTTCCTCAAATCTTGCTTTCCTGCCTGGCCTGGCTGAAATCTTCAGTATAAAAGAGGACCAAAACTCTGCATATCCTCCATCCTCTGTGTATATTTACTGTTTAGCCCTTCCATGCTAAACCCCGTGAGAAATCCTTTCCCAAAGAACTCAGTAAGGATGGAAGCATCTCAAAAGAATATTCCGAAAATCAGAGAGYAGAAAGCAAAATAGGTGTGTGTTTTTTTCTTTTGCATTTTTTAATTTAAAGACACTTAAAAGTAAGGAATATAATGAGACWGAGTTCATATTGTCAGCCTTGAATTAGGTGTCAGGGATCACAGTTCATTKGATCATCAGCTTGTAAGGACAAAGGCTTTCAACATGACTGTGTCCAAATCTGTCAACATTCCACCCAAACACTGCAGACAAGCACATCTCTCACCTGGCTGAGAATCCGACCACATTTCTTCCCTATTTTTTCCACCAAATCAAAGATTGGGAAGTTCCAACTATTTAGCTGCTCCATCAGGGGATCCAAGTTGTCCATAACCAGAGGCTCAGGGGCCAGTACAGGCTTGTCCTGGGCCAGAAATCAGAATAGAGAGGATTGTTACTTYAGTGAAGCATCTCAAGCAAAAATTTATGCTCTTAAAGACTGAAGTCATGTTAGCATCATGTGTAAGTCAGTGGTTCTTTACTCGGCTCAGTGTAGATGTCCTAATTTCTAGCAGCCCTGCAGCGATTCACTCTCCTTTGAAATGTGTTTCACTTGAATGGATAGCAAATTCTGTTTATGAAACATCAGTGTATGCACTGAGCACTGAGACACACTCATTCATTCACTCATGGGAATCGTTCATTCATTTCCAAGGGAGTCTGCCTTCATTGTGAAATTTGCTGTGGTGCAGAAGAAAAAGATCTCAGTTTTTGCTTCTGCATCAGGACCSATTCATTACACTCTAACATGGCTAACAGAGCTCAGTCCAAGTGAAGACTTATACTCCTTAAGCTGAAACCTACCAGCTTTTCAAGGTCTGCAAATAAAAGGTGSGTTGTGCCCCTTCTTTCACATTTCTCCCTGTACACTCCCTGGAATTTCATTTTACTTAGAAGCTGGAGATGAGTAAATGCCAGAATATGTCAAGCAAAATGCCTTCTCTCAGCATGTCCAACTCCAACAGATTACAATAAATTTTTCAAGAGCTCCTGCCAACTTCAAATTATTAATTCAGCTGTACAACAGACTGTGGAAAACTTAACTAAGCAAAGCTTTCCCTCTGCATCTCAACCAGTCTTACAGCTGAAAGCTGTGAGACATTCAGCACTTGTTCACCACACTACAATATTTGYTGTTTAAGACATAACCTACAATAATATCTTGAAGCACCCTTAGACCAGATTTTGCATTTTTGTTTAGTTTGGATTTTGTTTTGGCTTTTTTCTTCCCCTCAGTCTATTGTGCTAGGGGACCCTTGAGGAGCTACCTCAGGTGGTGTCAAGGGATGCAGGATGATGGTCTCAGGCGTGTAGGACCTACAGCCGGATCCCTTCCGCGGCTGCTCCTTGGAGCAATCCGTGTCATCATCGTTCTGCACGATGTCACTGCTGTCACTGTTGTTGGTCTCATAGTCAGAAGTGGCTTGGGCAGGATCATCTACAAAAACAAATCACAAAGTTTGTGCTGTGAACAGCAAGGATTTCATRGAAGTCATCCTGTGACCTTCCGAATAACAGCAACAGGATCTCTGACTCATGATAYATTTGTGCTGCTTGGCTGGCTCCGAAGTGGGATGATCGGTCCAAGGGCATTAAAGATACACCCTACAGAGTGTAAAAATGACATCAGGGATTGAAGAGARAAAAAATTGAGGACTATTATTTGAGTAAATGAGGGAAACAATATATATACTTAATATTTTAACTCCATTTTTCAKTAGCATTTTGTACATGTTGCACGTACAAAAAGTGAAGGAGCCTCAAAGACAATTTGTACATCCTCACCTGTGTATGTTCCCCTTATATGACAGAMAAGCATGTCTCCCCTTTCAGTGGATGATTACTGAATTTGAAGGAATGAGGTGTTTTTGACAAAGAATTACCTGTTCTGTTCAGGGTGTGTGTGGTAGCATCGTTTCTATTTAATGTCCCATCACCAGCTTCTATTTGGTTGTAGGGTCTGCCACAGCTGAAATACATAAAACGTGCAAAAAATAAAGAACCATGTGCATTAGACAGTCTCATGCAAAATTATTTCCTGCTGGCAGTGTGAGATTGTCATACAGTATAAGTCATGGTCCAAGGTACATTCTACAGACAAAATCACAAGAGAAAGCTGAAGTTTTATTGGATCTCTGGACAAAAATGCAAAAAAGACCTTGGATTAACTGRCCACCACCATTAAATTTGTGYTTTCAACAGTAAACCTGTGGYATGTGATTTCTTTGAATGATTTTTAAAAAATTCTCTAAGTATACCAGTACAAAAAGAATCCCCTAATTCTATACTGCAACTGCCCCGTAAAAATGAATTAAAATTATGAAAATGTGCCAGAGTTCCATAAAATCTTACAGAATTTAATTTGAACATAGTCATGTTCTGGCATTTCTCTTATTGGTTAAAACTTGAATATGTTCCTCTTAAGGAGGAAAATTATGTTTTACCATTTCTTCAACGACAGCATATCAAGTACATAAGAACCAAGGTATTTTGGACAGAACATGAGTAGTGTGATGCATCATCCAGAAATTAGAAGAGCAAAAAGACATTTTGGGAGGGATCACAATATTATGATCTTTTTAAATGCCTGGCTCTTCCTTTCCATTAAAAAGCTTTATTCCTTGTGTATAATTCCCTTTAAACCCTAATTATAACCTGGCATTTAAACATTTTCTGTGATTTCACTCAGCATTTTGTGGCATATCTTACATATTACCATCTTTGCAAAGGAACTATTACAGAATTATTTGGATTGGTCAAACTTTGTACGAGGAGCTCTGCACTGCTGTAAGTTCAACATAGAAAAATGGCTTAAATTCTGTGCCAGGTAGCTTTTGACTGGGTCATCCAGAACATATCCTGGAGCTTGGAATGCCCTGCAAACATAATGAATTCCTGAAAGACTTTCAAATAAAAATGCTACTCGCTTCAATGATACCTGTAGTGCATAGCAAGCAAATRAATCTTGTATAATTCAGGTTGATAAACAAGATGAAAGAAAGCATTAATTTCTATCTCCTATATTCTTTATGTTTTCTATAAGGTCAGTGATAGCCTTTGATTGGTTGTAATGCTACAAGGCTTTTGCACCAGTATGAGTGCACCTCTTTATTTCCTGAACATATGCAAACTCACACTGATTTAATGTGTATGGTCCACAAAGAGCTGTATTAAAAAGAAGATTACTGAGCTACCCAGTAAACACTTGAAATCAACTGCGTGTTGGAAGTAAACGTGCCCATGCAACTTTAACTCAATTCCTTCATGCACAGGCATTATRATACACTCCTTAACTTCAGGACTGTTCAATATTTTTTGCACAGGATTTCYGCCTCATCCACTCAGCAGAATTAGAAATGATCACTTACGAATTSCTCTAACAGCATGTCCTGATATATGCTCTTGCTTAAGCGAAACTAGTGAAAATCAAAGTCTGCACATGTCAAGAAAGTATATTTCATTACTATCTACCTTACTTTGGGTTTCTTTTTGACATTTTTAATTGAATTGTTAACTGTTTTTTGGTTTGTTTTTTTTTAACAGAAGGCTTCCAGAGATCATTACCACTTGTGAAATAACAGTATTTTGTTGAAGTGGTAATAAAAGCGCAGCTTAGTAAGAGTGTAAGCACCTATGTGCTGTATTTCTGTTGTGACATATAGTTTTAATTTCAAATAAAGCTGTCCATATCTCAGTTTTGGTACACCTTTGGAAAACTCTTAAAAGCACTTGAGTGCCGTGGTCCTTGCAGCTGTGTATGGGGGCTGGGCTTGGATTCAGTGTGGGCAGGACTAATGAGTAGTGTGCGCATGAGCAGATGATATGGTGTGTGGGATGGAGCTGGGCTGGGCAGCCGCTGTGGGATTGGATAGATGAAAAGCATTTACCAATTGGAGTCTGGAAYGTAATGTATGAGAGTTTTTCTGGTTATGTAATCTGTCTAGAACTTCACTGATTGGTTCATTTCTCAAAACCGGGTAGAGATAAGGGATTCCTATAAAAAGGGCACAAGGAGCGCGGTCAGTCCATAGAGCTGAATATCACTACATAAGAAGGAGCTGAAAGCACTATACCTAAAAGAGCTATGAAGATTTAATAAAGAAGAAACCTGGACCTGTCTGCGTCGTGTGTCTTTCCTGCGCCTGGGATCTGCGGGGCCAGAGCGGGGTATCCAATACTTGAGTTTCTATTTAGTCATCTAAATCCATCTTAAAAGCCTGTTGGGATCCTACTCCAAACTCCAGCAAGGATGATTACCTTGAGCACACTTGCAATCTCAATTYTGAGTTTCTTACACCCATTTCCTAGCCTTGCACACAGAACATCCAAAGTTATGAAACTGATGTCAGAAATGAAAAATTATTTGCAAAGATAGTAAAACTTGAAAGCAGATACTCTCTGCTGGCTGGCCACTCATGCTATGACCAAAAGTAACTTCTGGTGAGTAAGGAACCTTGAAACTGCACTGGAACAGACTTTGGGATACCAGCGTTTTCCACTATTCTGAACTGAACATGTATTGCAAACTCCAGTAATTTGATTTAGCAACTGAATCCTTCCTGAGAAGATAAACAGAACAACTTTCTTTCCAATATGCTAATTTTGCACAGTAGGTCTGTGTTACCTAATAAAGGGCTGCTTTAAAGTATGAAATTAAGCTGTATTACTGGAGCTCTTAGCAGTAGAAAGAATTCATCTGCTGTTGATTTCTGAAAAAAAAGAAATCACCACAGTACCTAATTTGACTCTGCCCAGGGAAGACAGGATCCACTCCTGAGAGAAGGTTCAAAATTAGGGAGCCTTCAAGCATTGTTGGCCCACCTTTGCCAGAAGCCTACAGGTCAGAAGCTTTTAAGCCCTAGCAGTCAGATTTTTCKATCCAACATCAGATGCCTGCTGTGRAAGACTTGGTCTGTGACCTAAAGGCCACTGCTCATGTCAAGAGCATGGCTTGAGAAAGGTAAGTTGTAAACATGAAATCCAACTTTGTGATCTGCAGGTTATTGACAAAGAATTTGTTTATGAATCAGGCTGTCCATGTGACAGGAGCAAAAGCAATAAACATAGCAATAAACATAGCAATAAACATAGCCAACAGTCTTCCACTTCAAAAGCATCTTGCAGCATCGATCTACACATTTACACAAGTGCTATAAACTTGAAATATCAATATAAACACTGCAGTAAATTACAAAAACTTGTATGTGGACCAATAGAACATGTTCATGAGAGCAATATGAAATGATTCCAAGGCATGTGAAATTACTAACTTACCTGCTGCAGATGATGGAGGGGCTGATTACAGGTTCTGACAGGCTAGGTGCACTCTGAGTAGAAGTTAAGACTTTGTGTGGCTTTAAGCCCTGCTTGGTGTCAGTATCTGTAGACTCTGGAAATGACACAGAAGATGTTTTTCCTGTAGGACTTGTGGCAGGGGTTCCCTGGATCGGTGAATGGCACGGGGAGGTGAGAGGTGAAATATTTGGTGGGATACCTGGCCAAGGACAAGAAGAGTCTTGTCAGTTAACAGAAGTGGCAAATGGTTGCATTAATTCACTATGCAGAAATACTTCTCTTGAGATGCACCAGCACAGTCTCAAAAAAAAATATAAATAAGATACTCTTCTCCAGTCTGTGCCAAGCCCAGGGCTGTCACAGAGTGATGAATCTCCATTACTATCAGCCACTTTTACCTGCTGAAGATGTGGCTCAAAATACAAAACATCTTTCCCTGTTGAGCAGGATTCACTAAGTGGACAGGCATGGAATGAAAGACATGTTGGTGGCCTGACTGTTGGTATCAACATCTTCTAGGGACAGCCCCAAACAGGCAGTGCCCAGGCCCATCTGCAGTTTCTCTGTCACTGTTWGTAAAGCAGGGASAAGGAAGGCTTACACACATTCCCAGAAAAAAATTGGATTTCTACAGGTTTGAAGACTAGCAATATACCAAAAAAAGCAATTTTTAGTAGTCATACATTATATAAAAACTGCACCTCTGGTGCCATTTCTGCATTCTTCGTAGATTTTGGCTTTGATCTTCAGCTTGGGCTTGTTTTTCAGTATCTGTTGCTCACTAAGGGAAACTTGCAGCCATTAACTGCAGCACATGGCACTGCACACCTGAGCTAGAGCATAGAAACTGCCAATATCCACATGTGCAACATTAGCAAGGCGTAGCTCTCTCTGTCCCTCGTTCAACCTAAGCACCACTGCCAAGATGAAATGCATCAGCCAGTCCAGAGTTTAAACAAAGTGCTGCCTTCTCTTGGAATCCACTTTGCAATTCCTACTCTCAGCAAAATGATCCAACTCAAAGCACAGAGGAGCAAACTCAATCTATCTTAAAAGGAAATGCATGGAAATTGAGTTACCTCCTGTTCTTTAGTTTGTAGGAACTCAGCCCCAGTTAATTTACCACATTCAGCTTCAAAGCCAAAGGATATCAAGACCKTAGGAACTTGAACTGGTTTTATGTTTGAATAGTGCCCTCTGTCTAAATGCATGCCAGACATAAAAATTGTCTTAAAATAAGGCAATAAGTTGATCTAAGTTTATAAAATATAAATCTTGCAGGATATACATGTACAGTTCCAGTGKTTTTTTTTTTTTCCCTGATAGTAACTTACTGTGATAGGAGGCTAAAATGTGATTTTACTGTTGACARTGCAAGGGTTAAAAAAAATTCTGATAGTTACTGTGCTGTAATTTGGAGATATCCAGCATCTCAGTTTTGATTAAGGGTATTTCTTCAGCAAACATGGTACATATTAGTGTCTTAATTCAACAATTGCAAGTAGGAGATAATGCTAGTTTTGAGATCAGAAAACTACAGCCTTCAGAGCARTTGAAATGCTATCAGATGGCCATGACACAGGGAAATTGCTTTAAAATACAGAAAACCTCTGTTTCACATTTATGAATTCATTGAGATGTCGGCTTTCCATCCAACAAAAACATGTCCTTAAAACATTTCACAGTCTGTTAGTTGCACAGGGGATTGAGTTGGATTATTTAGTATTTTTGAGCTATATGTTACCAAGTAATATTCATAACTCTTAGAGGATGCAATACATATGGTCGTCTTTCAGCAGTTTGAAACAAGCCCTGAAAATTTAAACAGCAGTTTTCACAATAATGTCTCTAATCACAGCAGGCTTTCTACTCCTAGTCTGGGTTCCAGCCTCCTGAAATATTTTTTGTTGTGTGTGTTTAGGTTTTTTTTTAAGACAGAACTTACCAGGGAAGGTAACCACAAATAAATATACCAAAAAAAAGCTAACGTATTTTCAATAATTCAACATTCAACCATTTACTGGCAAAAGAGASAGAAAATGTGCCTTGCTACAGCAAGGGTTTTCTAACAATCAAGATAAGAGAAGAATAAATATACAAAGACAATTTTTAAAGTACATCCATGTGCTTAGGTACTCCAGAACTTCTTCAAATGTACAGTGTTGAAGATATAAAACAGTGACTTCAGTTTGATCAGTGAAATCACATACGAAAACATTTGTGTTTTTGCCAAAATAGGCAAACCTAGAAGTATTTTCAAATGTGAATTAAAGGCACATTTTATAAACTAACATATTTACAGATTTGGCTAGATCTACTTCTACTAATTATTACTGTACATGGTCAATGGACTTGACACATAAAAGTCTAAATTGTATTAACAGGGCAAATGGAAACAATTATTTAGTTGGAGCAGGAAAACAAATCACAACTAAAAATGCATGATTATAAACAGTCTAAACCATTGGTATCAATCTTCTACATAAAACACTGACACAAAATTTTCACTCCTCTCCATCAGCATTCCTAGGAATTGCTTGTGATGGAAAGGAGATCTCCCTTCATCAAGGGGAGCTCATGTATTTGGACCAAAGTCATGACTACTAACACTTTCAGAAAGCAGAAATTGCTAAATGTAAAACTGAGTGATGAGGTCTATAAGTGTTGTTTTCCAAGTACAAGATATTATATACCCACTCATCTCCCTGTCAATTTATTGGGATAATCTCTGAAAATCACAAGTCAAATGTTTATTTTGTTCTAAAGCAAATTCTTGGATTCTTGGTACTATGTCTCCATTATTTTCCAGGTTAAATTTTRTTCATTTACCTATGTGCATATTACTTTGTAAGATAATATTGTGCTACTTTATCTTCACTGTAGTAAAACAAAGCAGCTTTGTACAAGACAAGATCTTTTGTATGCTCTCTTCAGTTTGAAAAGGAGATATGACAGCACTAGACATGCAAGATAATTGTGCAGTTATATCCTCAAACTCATCTCTTAGCTGGGATCCTCTGAATTTTCCAATGTCAGGCCTCAGGTATCTGTCAATTTCCATCTGATAGCTGGGTGGCCAGGATCTCTGAGTAATATTACCTCAATATTATTCATGTATGGATAAAAAGAAGGCTGATACAAAAAAGGAAGGCCTCGTGATGACTCTGAATTGTGACTTTGAAGCATGGGTAAACATCATGTTACACTGCATTTTTAGAGGGAGGAGAACCACACTATTGTGGATTACGGCTGCTTCGTGGCTGTCATATTACACATTTTGTTATCAATTCCAAAGTCACCTTCTTATTTTCTTCCAGGAAATAAATACAGCAATAAAGTTTTTTAAAAGGCTGAAAAAAATAAGTGAAAACCCCCATATTTCTTATCTCTGAAAATCAGTAAGGATCACCTGCACTTTCTCAACAGTGAATATACAGAGACAGACCTGTGAGTTACAAAGGTTTTKTCTCGGATATGTTTGCCCAGGACAAGCCAATTGCTGCTTCCAGCCATGCAGGTTGTGCTTTAGGAARTCTCAGCCAAGCAGTATGCACAGACAGCTAATGTCACAAATGTTATGCAAAACACCCTGTTCTCAGCCCTGCTACAGTCAAGGGAATTACAAAGGTATAAATCACAGCACAATTTCATATTGCACTCGCTGCATTGTGCTGTGACTTAACTTCTGCAAATCAAAAGAGTCAAAAWATTCACAAGGGGCATGACTACGAGCTATAATATTTTAAGCCACTGTGTTGTTTTTTTTTTTTTATTTTCAAAAAAAATAAAATAAATGTATTATATTGATGGAAAAATAAGAAAAGCAGCAGGCTGGACAGAGAAGAAAAGCAGATGCACCAGCTAGTGATGGGGAGCAGTAAAGCAGGGCTGGCAGAGCCCAGGATGCCCACKCACCTTGCCGGCTCTGCCTTTTGGCATTCAGGTGGTTGGTGGAGGACACGGCGTAGGAGGTGGAGAAGGACCTGCTCTTTGTGATTGTCATCAGAATGGAGCTGTTCCAGGAGTCAGAGCTGCAAAAACAGAGAACAAAGAGCCAAATTTCAACAGAGGTGAAAGCCTCAGTGGCAGCTCTTAAGAAGTTAGGAGCTGCAGCAAGAAGTACGTGATACTGAGACAGCACAAAATATGATGAGGAAAACAATATCTGTGAGTTGGCTGAACTGGTGTTTGTGAGGCACTCAGTACTGTGCTCAGAAAAAATATTTACAATGCAGACGGTCCAAAACTCTGGACTTCCCTCAGTGTTGAGGCCTGCTTGCCTTATTYATACAAAGATGCTTTCATTATATTGTTATCACAGTACGAAGAGGCTCAAAAGTTGACTCGAAATAAATTAAATTTATGTTCTCTTTTAATACCTCCTTAAAAGAGCCAGAAGCGACACCAATTCTCAGCAGAACTGGAAACCAGTCTCCTCTGTTGCTGGTGCCACAGCAGATACACAAGAACCCTTGTGGGACCTCCTCAGGAGGCTGATAGGACTGGATGTAGCACTGCATTACATCTACAAACACATTGCTTTGGAAGAATAAGCATTACCTCCAAAAATATTTGCTGACTGGGTCCAAATTCTTAAAATCTGTGATGAAGTGAAGCAAAGAAAGAATACAGATGTTTTCTAAAATATTTTGTTTGTTTTGTTTTATGGATTTGCTTTGTTTTTTAGTTGACAGGAAGAATATAACACACTGGCCCACTGTACAGTAAAAWAACCCCAGTGAACCAAACAAAACAAAAGCTTCTGAACCACATTCTTGGATTTCCTAAGGGAGAATCACTCGATATGAAAGTGGGTGAGGGAAGGAATGTGGGGGCTCTATTATTCTTCCAGTRTCATTAGAAGACATAAGAGGACAATGTCTACCTAGTTCAGTGACATGAGGTTTGAAGAATACAGGATTACTAATCTCAGACTGAGAGTTAAGGGGGATTTTTGCAAATGTATGATTACAGAAATATGAAAGTGATATCCCACATTGTGAGGAACGATTTGCAGGTTTTGTGACTGCAGAATCTGCTACAGGGCAATTGCAGTGTCAGCCTCTCTCCTACCCTTCAACTTTTGAAATGTTTCTTTCTCTGTGACCTGTGGAGTGCTTGAATTTGGTACAGGGAAAGTGGCCGATGACCAAGATTTATTTTTTTTTTAGGTTCAAAATTCTTCTCCTTGAAAGCAGACCTCTTTTCATCTGCCAAAATTTTTAAAGCTAGACTTATAGGATTCATTTTCCTCCTTTCTGGAATACACATTGTTTCTCCTACTGTAAAAGAAGTAGTACAAACAGTAGGCTGGGAGGCTTGACAGAGCTATAATTACACAACTGGCGACATTAAACATAGGAAGAATTGATAGCCTGTTCAGCTGGCTCCTCCTGCAGAGTTATATAACAACTGCAGGAAAGGACCAACAATAATATTTAATTGCTCTCCCTCTGCCTCTGATTCCCATCTTGGGCTGCTTACACACYACGTGAGAGGGGGATCAACAGCATAAATCAAATGCACCCCAGGAGCCACAGGTCTTTAAATGAAGAACATTTACATTTGGTTAAAGYTTCCTTGTATTTACTTTTACTGAGACAGATGGGACTCCTCACAAAGGGAACTTTGGCAAACCACGTGTTTTTCTTGCACGAGACTTTCAGGGTACTCTGCAGGATGCCTTGAGCACCTCCATATCCTGGAGAGTCTCGTCTATGGGAAAAGTTTAGGTCTCTGAAGAAAGGCCAGCCCGGGAAGAAAACAGCTCTCTGGGGCTGCATTCCCCAAGCTTTCCAAGTTAACACTGGTGATGTCAGGCCTTGCCAGGTCCTATCTTTTTCTACSAGAACCAAATTTTGAATTTCAGAAAAGCCACATATCTTGCCTTTCTTCCAATTTTATGGAGCAGTTCTGCRCTTCATTAGCATTAATAGATTTTTTAAAATTAATTTTTCTACCCAATAATATGAATAATTTTGGCATAGTCTGACAAAAATTGGGAGTGCTGCTTCTTTGACAAATCAATTTAGAGAAATGTGAAGACGTAATTTTAACACAGCTCTCAGCCAGCATTTTAGAATGTGGGACATCATTACACAGAACCAAAGAAATCTGCCCAAAGAGAAACACAGAAGAGAGAAGAGGCAATTTGTAACCTGGATGAAGATGATTCGTGAGGTTTGATGCTGGCACTGCGATCCCTTCTCACTGGGGCTGGCTCCAGAGTGGGGAGTCCAGTGGCTGATGTTGTTGTGGTCCAAGTGGAGGACACTCGTCTCAGCAGTCCTGGAGGCAAACTCCTCCGTAAGCGCTGCGGGGAAATTGGTTCCTTAGAGTTTATACAGCCTTACAAAGCCGCTACGCATGCAGAAGAAAAAACATTTCCATTTGATTTTTTCTGGCTGACAACACCGAGGGAGGTACTTTAAATCTGGATTCTCCCTCGTATTGTTCTTTTATAACCAATGCTTTAAATGCTTGGGGAGTCTGGAGCATCTCACCTATTTCAAGTTTAAAGAAAGGGATATATCCACAGCCCCATAACCACAGATGTTCAACACCAAAGGTACTTATACAAGTTAGCAGGGCCACAAAGGTGACTGAAGCATCTGTCATGAAAGGAAAGGCTTTGAGAGTTGGAATTGCTCAGTCTGAGGATGAGACAGCTCAGAGCAGATCTTACCAGTGCAGACAAATAGCTGAGGGGGGGATGTAAAGAAGGTGCCTCTTTCCATGGCTGCCCAAGACAGGGCAAGAGGCAGTGGAGCAATAATTGMAGCACAAGAAATTAAATGTAGCTGTAGGAATTTTTTTTTTTTTACTGTGAGGAGGACTGAACATAGAGAAGGTACCTGAATAAACTGTGAAGTCTTTTGGAGACACCCAAAATCCAACTGGACATCCTGAGCAAGCTAATGTAGGYTGAGTCTAGAGAAACTTTCTCCTTCATGAGCTGAGGGATAGGACTAGACTAGACCATCTCCAGATGCACTTTCAACCTGAGCTACTCTGTGTTTGAAACTGTCATGAATCCTCAGAATCAGAGATTCAAGGCAAGAAAAGCTGTAAGAAAATTAAGGCATGGGACTCCAACTTTTTTTCCTGTCATATCTACCCAACACAAGGAACACACACTGAAATAAATCTTTCATGCTCTGGGATAATGTGTCGCCAAAAGCTTAGAGAAAGCATCRCTGTTTACAGCAGATTTTTCTTGACCACCCTGCATTTTTTTTTTACCCGACTCTTCCATTTCTCCAATTAACAAGATTCACATGTGTTTTTTCAAAATTTTGAAGGTAGAGATAATAAAGAACTTTTTTTTGGTTCCAGATTTGCTGTTGCAGATCCTATAATTTTATAAGTTGTTTCGCTTGTGAAGTTCTTGTGAAGTGTTTATAGTTAAAAACTAAAATAAATATATCTGCAATGAAGAGTTTGGACTTTGCCAGAGGGTTAGGAAATATGAGATGGAAGACATCTGTGGTTCTGAAGCTCAAAGTTGCAGATAAATACGTTAACACATTATCTTCTTATATGAAATGCTCAGTGTCAGATGCTTAAGGTGAAGATCCTAAATCTGCTTTTAGACACTTAAATAGAGACCTGCAAACTATTTGTTTTATGAACCATAATACATTTAGGTCAGTGAATTCTTCAGTCAAATCAATTCTCTGTAGCATTAACTTATTTCTTCATCCTTCCTTTCTCCTCTCCTCATAAAGTCCTCTGCAAGAGCAAACCAGTATATGTTCCCTGTGTTTGCTCATGYGATAGAAGTGCTCTTCCACTTAAATCCTCCCCTTGGAGCCTAGAGTACAGCCATTATAGACATGGTCACTAAAATAAACTGGAAAATGTGCTTCAAAACCTCTGAACATCCATTTCATACATACAGCTGCTACAYAGGCAAATAGGGTGGTAATTATCATCACACTAAACTTCAATRAAAAAGGAATCACAAGCATTGCAGTTCAGATGCCTTAAATGCTGGAATGAATACTGGCTGTGCCATTTAAACTGTAAAAACATAAAAGCACTCGCCTRTGCAATGTACTCGGCATATATTTATTTTTACAAGGGAAGCTGCAGTACAAAAGCAYTTTGGTTTAGTTTCAGAAGTGAAATGTAAGCCTTGCAGGACAACTAATTAGCAACATTCTACAACTGAAGCTGCTTTAAATCTGATGTGCTCTTTCTAGCTGTTCACTTGCTAAATGGGTGGTTAATTTCCTGTCTGATCCCTGAGCATTCATAAAGCCCTTTTTCAAGGTCATATTATATATTTGGGGTTCTGTCTTATTTTTCTTTCAAGGCAACGTCCATGAGCTCACAGTGTTTGTCAGACTAACGATCATGATGATATTTTTGTTTGTTTGTGGGGCAWACTAGAGTTTAGACTTGATCCAAATCACCTGCAGGTCATCAATAGAAACTTTTTAATCAGCTTCTGTAGGTTTCACTCTTCTGGTTAAGAGAAGGAAGAAGAGATGGCAATTCATACAAAAAGCCCAATGACATCTCCTGATAACCCAGTGATGACCCTTTAGGGAGAGCCAGGCTTCGSTACTCACCTTGGGAATAGCAAGTTTCTCTCCTTTCTCCGGACACTCCTCCGAGTCGGAGCAGGTGTAGTTCTCACTGAAGGACACCAAGGGATTCACCCTTGGCTTGTGGATGGCCTGGAAGGTTAGCTGTGTGTTGAGCAGGTTGCTCACTGTTCTCAGMGATGTGCACACGTTGGGGGGCAGTGAAGGATCGGCCAGAAGGTCTGTGATGAGCCCGTGCGCTTCTCCCATGACGGCGATGTCCACCGTGATACTGGTACCAGAAGACTAAAGAGAAGAGAAACAACAAAAGACAACGTAAGTGAACAGCCTGCTGAGCACTGCCTAAAGCTGTGGTGAGCTCTGTTCACAGCTTCTGCTAAGTGGTTACAGGTGGAAAAATAGTTACATGAAAAAATTCTTTAATTACAGGGAGCAATGCTGAATAGATTGATCAACGGTCTGCAAAGATTTTGGAATTCCATCACATCTGATTTCACAGCTTTCACCATCTGCAGCTGACTWAACTCATCTGAATGAATTGTTCAGGCTCCCTGTGGAGACATGGTCAATAGCCAGGGCCTATTTGCACAAATAATTCTGGAGACATGGTTTAGGATGGGAGGAGTGCCTCTTGAGAGATGCCTGTGTTCTAACTACAGAGACATCTAGAACAACTGATGTTCACTGCTTATGCCTGGATGAATTAAACAAATCCCAAACATATACTGGGACTTTTAAAATATCTTTCTGCAACTAAACCGTAGTATTCTGCTATGGCAGCAACAACAGTCTTYTCCAAGCAATTGCATGTTGGGCAGCTATACCAAAACTGAAATGGAATAAAAAGTGGGTTTTTCAAACCTTGAAAGTCATCAGGTCTCTGAATTGACAGCTATATAATACAATTGTGAAGGACTGAGGATCTTTAAAGTCTAATGAAGAACAGCGAGACTAGGACGAACACTGAAAGTAGAACATGGAAAAAGGCAGTAGGCATGTGGAATTTCAATGTAGAAGTGGTATTTCAGCCTCCTTAGCTGGTGCACTAAAACCCACCATAAATTCTGCTAACTCAAGGYGCTCCAAGAGTGACCATTTTCCCTTTGCTGTGTCTCTGACACATAAGCTCATTCCTGCTGCTGCTGCTTGGGACTTAGTAGGTGTACGTGCAGTTTCCCAGAGAGACCATTGTAGGAGATTTTCYACTGATTTTCTTTCATGTATTCCTCAGAAAAAGCTAAAATGCACAGTTTGCTAAATGGGGAAACGATGTCTGTGAAAAGAGCGTACGAGTTACATGGAGTGGCAAGCAAAGAGCATGAGGAATTGGTCAGACTGAGAAKGAGAGTGATTAAAGCCCCAGCCAGAAATGACTCATCAGTGACACTGTTTATGGACCTCAAAACATCAAGAACAGAGTAACACAACTTGACACTGCTTCGTTCTCAGAAAAGCCTTWACAGGCAATAAAAAAGTATTTCTGGGGAAAGTGATACATTAATTAAGTGTAGCTAAACCTCTTCCCTCTGTCTTCCCAGTTGCATAATGTGGATATCAAGCCCTTTGGCAAATAGATGTTTCACTCCACTGATCCCTTCCTTGTGTCCTACTTCTTGCTAAGAAAGAGGACCAGAAGATAGTCATCCTCACCATTACACACCATCGTCCCCTACAACCAGAAAACCAGCCTCTTCCCACATTTCTTTGCATGCTATGAAATAACATAAACCAGAAACCGCTTGATCTACTGAAGCGCTATTTCATCCTACTGGAAAAAAAATTAATTCCTGAAGTTAATTTAATGGCTCTTTCGTTGCTTAACATCTCAGGAGTGCATGCAGAAGATTCTGGCAGATGCTAAAGAAAATCCTTAAATTAAAGGACAAGGCTTGGGATGGGAGCAATTAATTATCTATCTTAACCTTAGCCATGACAAACAGACCAAAGGGGAGTGAGGAGAATACATCACTCAAAATGCAATAGAAGCCTCATAATTTCAGCAAAACTGCATAATCTACAGTTTGAAATTCTATTAAGCCTGGAGCCTGGAGTTGTTGACTGCCAATCAGAGACAGAGATTAATACCTCAACGAAGTAAACAAGTCTGACTCAGTGGGCTATAAGCAGAGATTCTGTACAGCAGTACTAATATTTTGCAAAGCAGCCAGCATTGTTCTCCATGATTAGTACCAAGTGGGGAGAGAGAGAGGGAGGGGAAATGATGCATTTCTGCCACAGGGTGTCCAACTCCCTGTGCTGTCCAGTGTCTTGGTGACCCCTACCTTAACTCTGAGACCCAGCAGATTTGTCCCAATCAAATACCAGGCTGTGATGTGTTATGTGAATCAAGAAATATGAATGCACCTTCTATCTCAGGGTGAACTTAAAGSACATTCAGGCTACTCTGACTAGGTAAATTTACAGGTATTTAAATTATTATTTTCTAAAAACTATTACAAACTGAATGCATGAGGATRTTTTAAAATATTTTACTTTTCAGATGCTTTACTACAAAACAGAACGGCATATGCTTTTCAGACCATTKTTCAGAAAGTAAATAAAAATGTGTTTCCTTAAAGGGTAAGGAAACCTGGAATTTAGTGTAGATCACATATGATGATGTGAAAGCAAGACAGTAWATTGGTGAAAATTTTAGATTAATGCAATCACACAAAGGCATATGTATTGTATATATGCAAACACACACGTGCACAGATATACAAGCACAGAGTTTTTTTACAGTAAAAGTGCATACAAAATCCAGGCTCAGACTTGCAAGTTGTTTTCTACTAATGTGCATAGCCTCTGCATGAACTGATTTGGATTCTTTCCAAAGCACTTTACTCATTGAGGCTCCAAGGCCGGATACTTGGGAATAGCGGCATGAACAACGCTTGCAATCAACACTAACAAACAACTAATTTGATAAAACAAAACAAAACAATGAAGAGCTAAGCTAAGGTGAATTTAATTAACAGTGGTCAGTGTTCATTTACTCATCTATGCCAGTAATTGTGAATGCAGTTCCCTCCCATGAATTTTGGATAAGACTGGCTTGCTGTTCACTTTGTGACTTCATTCCAGCCCTGATTTCAGCAATGTCATGCAGTGACTAAAACTGAAATGCTCTAGGGCATGAGAATGAGAAAGCAAACAGGCTGGGAGCAAAAGCAAAACTAAACAGGCTCATTTTTAACTAAGATAAGAAGAAAAATTAATTCTGTACTATGCTGTAAACCAGCTGGTTTAGGCCACGGTGCCATCTGGAATTCCTAACGGGGCCCAAATGCACTTGCTGCATGTTTTGAGGCTTCCTTTTATGTACAGAAATAATAATAATAAAAAAAAATAACCCAAAACATACTGCTGCATGTGCAGGACCAAACCACAAAAGCAGCATGTCCCAGTATCACACAGATGATTTTTGTCAGGGCAGGGAACATCCATAAGGAATATTATTGTATTCAATATGAAAACAGTCTTCTGRAAAATTTTAATAATAATTTAGAATTTTTAGGTTTGAATTGTTTGGTTTGGATTCTGCAACACCACTAGAAAAACTTTCAAAATTTGCATAACCTTCACTGGGCTTTTCTATTACCGTTCACAAAATCCCATTTGTTTTCTTCTGYTAAATCATATTATACACAAAACTCTAAGAATAACTTTTTACTCACTAGATAAAACTGTGCAGGAAGAATGAATTTAGGAAAATAGAAATAACAAATTCCTTTAGCTATAAAACCCAATAGATAAATTTAGGTTATGAATTGTTCCTGTTGGCTCACCTGTGGAGCAGATTTGACATCCATACACTTAACAGATGCTTTACCAAAAAGCAAAGTCTTCTCCCTCCCCATTCATATTTTGCATATGATCCTCATCCAGCTTMACTAAAATTTACTTCTCTCTCCAATCTACAAAAAGGACAATTATCATGACAACAAAAAACTGGCCAAAACTTAAGCAAGGGAAAAAAAAAACCAAACCAATTATCAACTACAAACCACAATTCATTTCACACTGCCTCATGTTAGGGAAAAATAAAATCTTCATTTGCTGTGKCTTGTAAAAGGAAAAGCACTGAAGGCAGAGTTGTTGGCCTTTCACCATGTTACACTCAAGAACACTCTGTAAGCAAAAGAATGGGGGAGGAGAGGAGGAAAAAAGAAAAGAAGAGCAGCATCCAGCCTATCTTCAATCCTCACACAATTACGAGCAACTATAAATCACAATTTGATATGGTTTCCAAGTCACATCATAAATGTTCAGGCCAAGTTGTCTGGAAACAAAATTAAAAGCAAATATAATTCTCCATTATTTTAATGTCCACAGAGCAATTTGAAGGATAAACATCAATTGGCTTCTATGGAAATAATGAATCATTTTAAAGGCGCCACAGACTTAGCTACTCCACCTTCCACTGAATGACTAAGGAAAAAAAGCGTGCATGCAATTCTTTCACATTTCACTTTTCTCTATTTAAAGCTCTAGTACCCAAATATTTTATTTCTCTTTTATTTTGTACTAACACAAGATTTCAGACTTCCTCTTCTCTGCYGAGCAAACAAGATGTTCATGAGAATCTTTTCTCCAGCTCAATGAAGCACAGCATTCCCACTGCTCTCTGGAGGTGAAGCAGCCACAGGCTCTGTAAGGCACACTCTTTGGTAGGGCTGAAAATAGCATCTTCCCGTTATCTCATCACATTGATCATAGGAAACCTTTCCAAGGTATCTGTGTGGTCACTGACTTTGCTATTGAGCCTTTAAAGCACCCAGAGCCGCATAACCATGAACCAGACACTGAAGCACAAAAGATGAGCCCACAAAGAAGAAAGCTCTGAATCTTGCTGGAGCCATAATTTCAGTTTTTGTCCTGGTTCTAAGATGCTTGGGATGGCACCACTATAGCAAAGCAGACCTTGCTGATAACAATTACACTGAACCCTGATCTGCAGAGCAGAAAATGTCATGACTGGCACCTGAAGTGTGTTTGTAGCATGAGCACGTGCCAGAAAGATGCCAGAGTCCAAGGAACACAGAGCAGCCAGAGGAAATCTTTCAAAATAGCTCTGCAAACACAGGATCTAATGAAATGGGTCTCACTAAAGAGCTACACCTTTCGCCCCCTCACTGTATTGCAATGTCCCCTCTCCTCAAYAACAGATCTGAGACCACACAGGCAGCAGGAGGCAGCCCTGTCTGGGGCTGGATGTGTTGTTGAGCAGCCTTGTACAGGGCTGTCTCTGTCATCTCACRGTATATTAAAATATCAACCTTCCA